GGAAAAAAAAATACGGAAATAAAATTAAACTAAAACCGACCCAAACCATTTTTTTACGGATTGGTCTGGTTCGGTTCCATGGCTCAAATGGTTTGGTTTGGATTCATATTTTTTGGAACCGTAGGGAGTGGTTTGGTCCCAAAAATCCTCAAAACCGGACCGAATCGGACCGTGTGCACCCCTACCATGAATTGAACGCCAAGATTTCATAATATTGTTGAGTCAACTCAATTGTTTGAGCAACTTGCGAGGTTAAAGGTCGGTTTAGTTAAGTTTTTTTATATCTGAAAATCAAAAAATTGTATAAGAATGCTTGGTTGACAATTTTTAAGAATTATTTTTTGAAAACTCATTTTTTTAAAAAAGATGTATATTTTCATAAATCTATCTTTTATAATTTTCTAAAAACAATTCTCAACTTTTTAAATTATTGAGAATTATTTTTTCAGTAACAAATAGAGCAGGTCCTAATTAATTTGGTGAAAATGTAATTTTTAATTGGAAAATTAGTTTTGCAACCAATAAATGGATCAACTTTAGACTATACTTAGCATTACAATGCTAAAAAAGTAGGTTCAATATTTTGTCACAACTCCCTTAAATATTATCCTTTAGATGAAAGGCAATCTTTAAACATCCTTAAACTCGTTATATATTCAGCAAGTTTTGGTTTTTACCATATTTTTAAACTTCAAGCATTCAAGAGGGAAGTTCAAAAGATCGGATTTCTATGATTTAAACTCTAATTTCTAAAGTTATGGATCAATTAAAGGATTTAATTACTAATGTTATGGTCACAAAGGATTTAATTACTAACGTTATGGTCACGAAGACATGTGGCCAAGTATTATCTCATTTCCTTTCAAGTGAAAAAAAAATATGGTTCAAATCTCTCCAAAATTGAGAATTATTTGTTAAAAAAATGAAGAAAAATATTTTAGTTTATTTTATTTTATTATTATTATTTTTTTTTGACAAAGAAAGGGAATCAGGAATGGGCACTTTACCACCTAACCCACTAAATAATTCCTAAAGAAAGTATGTTATGGTGAGACATAATGTGGGTAAGTTAAACTACCATTGACAATATGATACTTACCCCAAATTTAATAAGAAAAAACACAGTATAATGAATGTATATGCCCTTAATGCTATATTTATATTTTTTTATTTTTTGGTTCGTATAATGAATTTTTCAATAATAAAGATAATTTAATTGATGTGATGGCCTTCATTGTGGGCCCAGTGGGCCAGCATGTTTGGGAACCACACAACAATTATCTTGTGGGCATGAAATGTCATTTTTCAGGAGAAGAAGTTAATGTAATGAATTTAAGCCACCATTGACAATATCATAAAAAATCAGTGATAATCAATGGTACATAACCAACCCTTAATGATATATCTATAGTTGGTTCATGTAATCAATTTTTGAATAATGGAGATAATTTAATTGATTGATTTGATGGCCAGTATTCTGGGCCCAGTGGGCCTGACTGTTTGGGAACAGCAGGACAATTTATCTTGTACGTATGAAATGTCATTTTACAGGGAGACGAGATCTGGTTTGTTGATCAATCATAGAACTACTACTGGATCCAATAATATCTAGGTGGGGGTAATGGGACATAGAAGGGCCAGTTGTACGATTACAAGCCCAAAAGGTTTTTAAGCTATAAGGTTAGCAGATTACAAAGCCCAACTGGATTGGGTAACTGGTAGACCCGGTTAAATTAAAATCCATACATTTACCTCACCTTCCTAGTTCAGTGATTGGATTGCTCCCGGTTATCTTGGGAGCCTAACTTCGAGCCTTCGCCAATTGCCCCTGTTTTAAAATTTAGATTGTTATTTTTTTACTTCTTATATTACTAAACTTTCAAATTTAAATTAGAGTAAGAATTTTCTTTTTTATTTACCTTTTTTTTTTTTTTTTTTTTTTTTTGTTAATTCACCGATTTCGAGTAAGATTAGTACTAGTAGTTATAAATGTATAGAGTCACCAGCAAATTGTATTTCACCAATTAAACTCACTTAAGTATCAATATGAATATGTGTGTGTGAATATGTATTTCTTGCCAAGATAAAAATATATAAATATTTTTTTAAAATTTTTTCCAAATTTCAAAACTACATTAATGGAAGAGTAGTATTTTGTTTTTACCTCGTCGCATATGCAGACAATTGGAGAACTAACGCGAAATCTTTAAACAAGCCACTAACATCACAACTTTTATTACCACTTTTGCCACCAAATTTTTTATTTTTATTTTAAATGAGTTCACATTTGCAACTACACGTTTATAGAACTCTCAACTCCAAAGAATTTCGATTCAAATTATTTAAACATCAGCTCGTTCGTTTGAACGTAAAATATTTTTTAAATTTTTTTTAACTTTATTTTTAGATAAAATATTTTTTTATTTTTATTTTTTTGATATTTGTCAAAGGATCTATGTCGAGATTGAGGTCGAGTCTATCGAACCATGTAAAATAATTTACAAAAATTGATGAATAAATTATTATTGTAAAATTTTAAAATTTTTCGTAAATATTTTACCACAATCAAATACCAAAAAATAAAAAATAAAAATTGAAATATATTTTACATCCAAACAAATGGAATCTTCATGCAAATTTATTCTTTTTAGCTATTACACACATACTTTCATCACCACTGCGTTTTTCCTATTATTTTTATTATTGTCATTTTTACAATCTCACACTGAAGTTTACTTCTACGCTCAATGTGTCTTATATTAAAAACACATATTTTCATCACCACCTTCACATATTTGCACAAGTTGACACATAATAGCTCTCGCCCATCTAGCCAGCCAAATATCACTTTAAACTAAACAAATAGAACATTGAATCATACATTACACTATTATCAAATCTTACGAGGGTAATGCTAGTGCGAGAGCCTCTTGTAACAGCAGCATCCCGCTCTCGCATATGAACCGTTCATTGAAGAGTTGAATAGGAATTAAAAAAATATATATTTTTTTAATCTTTTTTTTCTCCCGTCTCTCTCCCTCCTCAAACTTTCAACTTCTCTCTGCTTTTTTTTTTTCTCTCTCTCTCCTCTCTCTGACCGCTCTGCAACTCATTCTTCTCCTTCTCCTTCCTCTCCGAGCGGCCCAACACATTTTCTCTCTCTTATATATATATATATATCATCTTCTGCTGCTCAGAGGAAAAAAAACAGATTCAAACCAAATTGATTGAAGAAAAACAAATCTACTCCTACTTTAAATTATTATTGTTAGATCGGGGAAAAGAATCGATGGCGGCAGTAGTGGTGTTAGATTTGTGGCGGTGGTTTTTTAATTTTGATTTTTGATTTTTTTTTTGGTGCGTTTTGATTGTGGTGTTGTTGGGGTGGAGATTGTGGCGGTGGTTTGGGGTGACCGGGGGAGGATGGTGGTGGTTGGTGGCTGTTCATAGACAGAGGAGAAAGGTTGGCCAAAAATATTATCAAAGAGAGAAATTTTTTTTTTCCACCCAAAGAGACATGATTGATTAAAACAAAAAGCAAAACAAAGAGAAAGAAAGAGAAAGGAGAAAGAAATTGTTTTCCTGCACAGGACGACTACGGTTTGTCGGTGTAAGGATCATCGGCGGGTCTCTGGCAGCTTTCTCACCCTCCTCTCTCTTCTTCGCCGGAAGTAATGAAGAAGAAAAAAAATGATGAGAAAAAATAAAAGAAGCTAGAGGGAGAGAAACGGAAAGCTCCGAGGAGAGAGAAGGGAGACAGGGAATTTTATTTTATTTTTTTTGTGATCTCAAAATTGACCAATCGTGCGGTTTCATCTGTTGCAAGAGCCCTCTTGATAAGATTACCCATTTTATTATTATTACTATTATTTTTTACATTTTAAAGATTATAGAAAGTATTTAAAATTATCTCAATAAAAATTATGATAATGGAAATCTCTTTTTATTTTATTATATATATATTTACAAAAGTAAGGTTTAAAAAAAAAAAAAAAAACGAAAGAAAAGAAAGAAAATTATTATTTTTTTTAATACTGGCAATTGCAACTTCATGTTTTTGGTGATTATAATGATATTTTTGTTTCATATCTTAAAACAAAATTACATTAAAAAAATTAAGTTTTTTCAAATCAAAGAAGTTAAATAAATTCGTAACTCTACTTATTAAATAAGAAAAAATGTATATGAATAGAAAAATATTTGAGAGAGTACCAAAAATCATCTCTTTCTATAATCAAAATTTTACAAAATATGTAGTTTAATGTATTATTATAATACATTTGTTTAACACGTAAATTTGAAAAAGTATATATTAAATAAAAAAATCTTATAATGAGATTCACGTTACAAAATACAAGTCATTTGAAAAAAAAAATGTTAAGAATTGGTGCACTATTCTAAAAAAATTAGTAAAAAAGAATTTTGAAGGTCCAATAAATGTAGATAAATTATTCCAGATAAATGATATGTGAAGAATATGTATACAAATATCTAAAAATGAGAAAATTCTAGAAATTACAATTTAACAAGAATCTAGAGAAACCTATACAAACTAAATGTGGGTATAGTCTATAAATACCCAAATCCTGGTGCCTATTGATGCTTATTAAGGCCTATGGACACGGAAAGAGTTTTATTATGACAATAATTATCATCATGTCGATTATGAAGCACAATACTGATGTACAATATTAATATGGTGACAAGTTTTATCTTACCATTTTAAATAGAATTAATTCTAAATTAATGAATTCAATTTTTAAATTTATAGTTAATTTATCTATAAAGTGGACACAAATTTTTTTTTTATTATCACCTTTGTCTACCAAATAAAGGTCAATGTTGGACACAACCTAACAACTTTCCCAGAATGACAATATATAGTTTAATAAATATATAGTTATAAACACACAATAATGCATCATTTTATATATTCTTTTTCTTTTTCAAAACAACTTTCAATACCTTAAAAATTAGGAACCAATACATATGAGAATGGATAAAAGCAAAAATAAATGTAACATATATTTACATATTGTCTACATTCTACCAACACTAATGCTAACCAACATTTGGTCAATACCTACAATTTCACCTACTAACGAGCCACTTCCCAATAAATGTCCTCACACGTAACCAATTACAAATATGAGAACATTTGAAAGGCTCACCATAACCTTTCCAAGAATAATATGTATAAATACATGGATCAATCTACATATTGTATACATACATGGATCAATCTACATATTGTATACATACATGGATCAATCTACATATTGTATACATACATAATAGTATAATACTAAGAAAATCCTAACAACCATACTATTTGAATCTATTTTCTTGGCGGTGGTGTATAGTTGAATGAATTTTATCTCTTGACGCGGATAACCTTAAATGTGAATCCTTCAGACAATCAAATCAGTTTGAAAAATCATTTTCAAATCCGAATACTAATCAACTAAATTTCATAAATAGACCTCACACGTGCACACTCATTGACATTCTGTCTCTGTGACACGTGTACCCGGTGCCACGTGGGTCCGATGAGCCACGCCTTTAGTTGACCCACCAAATGGTCCCACCAACTTCAAAAGGGCTTCTGCAGGTGCATGAATATATCCTGCAACGGCGACATCTGATCATTATGGAACTGAGAAGCGAAATCGTTGTACATGGAAGAATCCAAGTAATTAAACGGGAAATCAAGGGTATTATTGTCAATCTCATTCGGCTTCGGCTGGCTCTGAACCTCCCGTTCGCACGTGAACTCCGGCGACACGACGTGCTCCGAACAGCTCGAGTCCGTGTGAAGTCTTGGGAAGGAATCAGATGTGTCATGGTGCACCATCTCATTGAACAACCCCACCGACGGCCGCGGCGGAGCGCCGCCCTTCTGGACTTGGTGGGTCAGAATCACCGGCTTCTGTTCGTCAGTTTCCGAATAGGTAGTCGGAATCCGGGTGCTCACGTGTTGCTTCTCTATGGTTCCTTTTTTGTTGTATAGGCGGCACAAGACCCAGTCATCCAACTGGACAAATCACAACCATAAGATCAGTCAAATCAATTTGACTAAGGACAGTTCATATTACATCAATGCCATTCAATCACTTCCTATCCATTCGGTTCCATGTGGTCCGAGTCAGATACAGATAAGAAGGAATAATATTTCCGTAAACGCAAAGTAGAAAATTCAATATTTTTATATCAATCATACTAAGACATGCGTCTTCAATGACATTAAATAAGGAGTATCATTTTGTGAATTAAAATTCCCAAAATAAAATGACACTTACGCCCAAAATTATAGCCCAAATACTAGGCCTAAGTTAAATGCATGTGGGCCCAAAATAATTTAAACCCAGCATTTTTGTCAGAACTCTAGCCTGAATGGCTAGACTTAACTCGAAGTTAAAATTTTTTCCAATAACAATTTTTTGGGATTTCATGAAATTGGCATATTTTTTAATGTACTATCAAATTTTCACCATTTCATGGTAAATTTTGCGACCAAGACAAAGATTTGTGCCATGACCCACATTTGGTCGCGGCATACCAAAGCCATTTGTCATCTGATTGGTTCGTTGCCATGATCAATGTTCTGGGAAGTAAAAGGACAAAATAGTCATTTCAGAGCCCGGTACAGCTTCTTGACTAGTGAATGAATATCAGATCTACTACTAATTTAGTGACGAATTATATACATGCAGATAGGTTATGTACCCTTAAGCTGTTGTTCTTCTTGCGAACCGACCGGTCCACGTCTGCGAGCCGGTACTCATGCATAATCCAATTGGTTTTCTCTCCCTTCGGCGCTTTCCCGGCGTAAAAAACCAGCGCCTTCTTAATCCCGACCGGCTTCGGATTCCCGATCGGCTTATCGGCCCCGGTCGCCTTCCAGTATCCACTCCCAGCCGCCCGGTTCGGCCTCGAACCGTTCGGGTACTTCCGGTCTCTAGGCGAAAAAAAGTACCATTCTTTCTCTCCATACAAAGCCAAACCTGAAAATTTTGGAAAAATTAAAAAATGAGCACCAAAAAAAAATTAGAAAAAAAAAAAAGGTTTGATTAAAAAAATAAATTTCAAGAAAAATAAAAAATTTACCCGGAAGATCCCAAGGGTCATACTTGTAGAGATCAATTTCTGCAATAATAGGAACAGAAATATTCTGCGACGCACATTTACGACAGAGATAGTGCATCACGAGTTCCTCATCCGTTGGATGAAATCGAAAACCAGGGGGCAATTGCAAGTCCACAGCCATTTTCTCTCTCTAAAAAAAATTCTCTCTCTCTCTCTAGACTTTAGAAGGGGAGGGAAGACGGCGCTTGAAACTTAGAACGCAAGGGAGGAGGAGGAATAAATAGGGGCTGGGGAGGTGAATTCTAGAATACACGTGGGCGATAAGTGTGGTCTAAAGGCTGAACGGACACCGGCACGTGGCGACAGACGGAGTGGGGTTGTGTTAGTGTCGACGAACGACTTGGGGTGATTTTGTCACTGCTTACGTTATTAGTTTCGGATGGACCTGTGTTTTGGTCGGTCAATCGTGTCTAGTTGGGAGCTGCCTCTAGGGTTTTTAAGCCGCCTCTTGAACGGTGGATGAGTGTCCACGTCTGCATATGAAAATATTAAGGAGGTGGATGGTCAGTAGTGAAGTGGGAGTAATCAGGTTTGACATCCCAGTGTGGACATAGTACAACATGATTCAATTGTCTACAAATCTAAGTATATTTTTGTGCGTGCCTATATATATATATTATTATTATGCTGGACAACAAATTCATTTGGTTTGATGTAAATATTTAATTTAATTCAATTTTTATTTTTTAATTCAAAATTTTGATTTAATGTCGTCAAAGGTATCATTAGAATTAATCTTCAAAAAAAATATTAATAATTACGGAATACAGGTATGTGCTGATAGTGAAGTTGAAATATAAGGAGCATAGTGCCACCTAACTATTGAATAATAATAACTTTTTGATCAGCAGGCCACGTAGGACCCACAAAATTAAAATGGTTAAATTTGTACAGCCACCACGGCCCATAGTACAACCTTTTTATTTTTAACAGAAATATTACGGTAACCTTTGAGAAGATTACATTCTATTTTAATGTCATTCAATGAAAAATAATATGGTGAAAATAATAATAATAATAATATACTTTTTAAAATTATTTATATGACTATATGAGACTCATAATATTATATATATATAATCAAAAATCTCCTAATATTACAACATTGATCCATTTGCGATGTAATCTTGACATGTTTATTAGACAAGCACACATGAAATTTAACGATGTTTTATCACAACCACAACATAAGTACCAAATGTCCAAGAATTTGAATAAAATTTTCTTTTGGATCAATTTGAGAAAAGAATACATTGAAGAAACGTTAAAAACACATTCAACGCATTTTTTAAACAAGATAGCAAGTTGTTCAATCATTTTATAAAAGAAAGAAATTAATACAAATTAATGCACTTTTGAAACATATTATAGGGTAAATGAAAAATTATATTAAGTTATAAATAAATAAAACATACACATCAAGCTAGCCTTAACCTTCATAATATATTAATTCATTCAAAAAATTTATGTTCTTATTTTATTGGGTGATAATAAATGCATTCCTTTTTAATCAAATGCCCAATTTTTTATTTTTTTATTTTAAACGTAAATGATAAACATATTCCTGATATTTGATTTTATTTATTTATGAATTAAGAATATTATTTGTTTTCACTTTAAAATGAAGTGCATTTTAGGTGAAAATGAGTGTGAATATCAGTTTCTTATTTTGTTATCATATTTATGGTGTTTACAAAATATATTAGGTGAGTCAGACCTACCCTCCAATAAAATTTATACATACAATGGAAATGTTCCCACCTACTTAAGAGAACGAAAATTACTATTACATGATTCACAATTGACACACAAGAAAAAGGTCAAAAAAAAAAAAAAAAAAAAATACTTACCTGTTAATCAATAATTGTCTTGAAACTATGTAATAATTTATTAGTAAAATACTTTAAACAAAATTAAACACATTTAGGTTTGAATTGTCAATCGTATCTTGTGTCCATTTCTGTTCTTGGTAAACCACAAAAAAGAACAAATAGGATTTGGGTGGTAATAAGAGAGCTACACTAAAAGACAAAATAGATTTGTTTCTGACGTGTCAGCGACTACGTGGATAAGAACAAAGGAAGTAACCTAGAAGTTGCTATTCCCACTCCAACTTTTTCTAGTTCGTTGAATGCGAATATGCGATAAAAGGTGCAATTCTGCCTTCCACATAATCCAGATGTAGACGTGGAAAAACGAGTTTTCTACGTGGACTAATCTTCATCGGTCCTTCAATGGGGTCAAACTTTATTGGGTGACCCACCAATCAGAATTCGCCACGTACAACAAATATCACTCTCAGCAAGGATCTCGTGAACGCGTGATATGATACGATCGAAGTATGACCTGCTTCAATCGCAAGACATGACCTAATCAAGACTACCTGCCACGTGGAACATTTTTATTCGCTTGTGTGTGGCTGAGTGTAGAGGAGGAGGATATTGATGGGTAATCTTTCAAAAATCCAAAATTTTTAACCATTTTTATTTTTATTTTTGGGTGTCCCAAAATATATACTATCTTATTTTAAAAATAAAAAATTATCTTTATAATATTTCTTAATTCACTTGATTAAATAACTGTATTAATTAAGGTATACTTTTTCGTCTTTTAACTAAGATAAATTTAAAAATTCACTCTAATACAATTAAAAAATATTAAAAACATATTGTCATAAAAAATTAAATTCTCCAAACATTTCAAGAATTTTGGAATAGAAAGAATATGTGTGTGTGTCAGTGTGTGCTTGCTTGGTTATGAGAGCCCAATTTTATTTAATTATTTATTTTATTTTTTCGCATTGGACTGACAATTGCAATCTACATATTTAGTGAATTTCATTGTTTGTTGAGTGATTTTGATATACATATATACACAAATAGTACACATTGGATTATTATTATTATTTTTTTATTATAAGATAAGAAGTGTTAGAAGTTAGATTAGTAAATGTAGATAATTGAAACCTATCATTTTAAAATTTATCGAAAGCACTAACTCACTGAAGTATCGAAGTATCGAGACATGTGCATATAACGTACACATGAGTGTGTTAGTTTTGGAGTTCTGAATTGACAATTTAAAATTGAAATCACAAGAAATTTAACTAAATTGAATTTAAATTAAACTTTTTCTAATTCTAAATTTAAAGTCAGGATTTGATACTCCTAAACATAACATTTGACTAAATAAAAATGGTTCGGATTCAAAAATAATCTTATCGAATTCAGATATGATCAATCTTGATTTTTTCCCTTACCCTTAAATGTTTATGTCAAGAATGATACTGCCTCACAAAAAAACACAACTTGTAAGAATGGCGGAACTTGTGGCATGATTATGATTTTTCAGAAGGGACATTGATTTTTTTTAAAGTTGTTGGAGTGAATGAGTGATCCTTTTTCTTTTGTTTTTTTTCTGCTAAATTTTGGTTAGAAAAACATTTGTTTCATCAATCTAATCGTGCTTTTTCCTAAGAGCCTAAGACAGTACTAGTACTCGAAAAGATTAGGATCTACCCAAAATCAATGGAATTGTGATTGGCACTTTGATGTAGACAAAATTACGTGGCTATATAATCTCGATACAAAAACCGACAATTTAGATTCGATTGTCTCACAATAGTGATGGAACTCACCACATGAGTCCGGTGAGTCGCACCATTATTCTCGTGAGTCACAAATACTATAATTTTTCACATATATTTATTGTCACAAGAAGTCCTAGAGGCAATCCTCTCTTATTGTTAAGCTATGATGTAATCATCTGACTTATTAGAATTCTTTAGAATACACAATCACAAATATCTCACCATTTCGTTTAACATGCAATAAAGGCCCTAGTTCGCGTTTTGTTTTATCTTGAAACAAAATAAGTGTTTTATTGCAAAATTATTTGAATAGTAATCGGAAGCATATATGTTTGGTAATGTCCATTTGTTACAAAATTTTTTGAAGCAAAAATATGAAAACATATTTAGTAAAAAAATGTTGCAAGTTTAAAATTATAATGGTTAGTTTAAAAATGTTATTTAAAATTTCAGGGAAAAAACAAAATGTCATTTAAGAAACTTTTTTTAAAATATTTTTTTACTGTTCATCATTACCGACTCGTTGCTATATTGCTGAATATGTAAAAATATCAAATTGATATTTCAATTTTTGACTATTATTAAAAATATATTTTTACCAAATATATTTTTTCACTGTTTACGGTTACACGCACCATACATAGCCCTAAACAATTATAGAATATTTTTCTTTGGCGAAAGTGACAAATGAACATAATCATGTTACTTTGGTAATTGGGGAATGAACCGTAATCATATTATGAAATATAATATTGGAATATGTATGGTTGAAACCTTATCAAATTACTTCAACCTTTTGACATTGACAGAATAATTTTATGCGTTCGTGGTGTCGTTTACTTTTAGGTACTACTGTAGATGTCATAAGCTAAGCAGTCGGATAATATAATTAATTATACTAAGATTATATAAGAATAATCAAACTTATGACCTAAGATTATTTTTTTTATTCCTGAATGACTTAAGATTATTGGGTGTGAAAGCGAAAGAATTCATGTGGTTTTCAAATATCAAATCATCATAAAATTTTAGTGGAGGTAGGCATGACTTCTAATTAAGTTTAGTGCCGAAGATGTCCATATTAAATGCACCATTAGTTTTTTATTTTTTGTCCTTTTGACTATTTAAAGACAAGGTCATGATACATTGATTCTATGTCCTTCGCCGCCCACCTTTTTCATTTTTGTACCATTTTAATTATTTTCTTCATTATAGAAGGAGTGTTATATTTGGAGAACTGTTGCAGTCCCAAACATGAAGGAAGTATAATGTATATATAATATATTTAAATGAAAAATAATAAATAGTTTGAAAGTTGAATAACGTTGATGACATTGACATTCTCTATTCATGTAAACATAGTATATCAGCGTGAGAGTGACACCCGTAAAGAATGATTGCGTGAGTTAGATTACGACTATTATATATAAGGAGTAAAGAAATAGATAATTTTTAATAGTTACTTAATTAAAAAAAAAAAAAAACAAATTGACTTAATATATATTTATTCCATTGGTAAATACCACCGACTAATTGTTGCTAATGCATGAGCACTAAAATTGAGATAAGGCTCATAATCTTCCAAAAAAAAAAAAAAAAAAATCAAATCTCAATGGTCTTTATTAGGAATAATGTTGTACATACATATTTTAGTGAATCATATAAAATATAAGTAGTTTTTTTTCTTGTGACCGAAGCCATTACACACACACACACACATATATATATATAATATTTTGGCATAATGTCAAATAGGGCTGCATGGAGGTCCAAATCTACCCAAAATGCACACTGCAACAAGTCATGTAGATTGAATTTTTTAACCGTTAATGAGTCCTCCATTGGCTTTCTCAAAGCTTTGAGTGTGACCAAAATTCTTATTCATGCATGCATTTATTTGTCTATTAGCTTGAATCTTTTTCTTTTATTTCATAGTCAAAAAAATCACATGTTTAAATATTTTTTTTCTTGGTCACGAAGACAAAATGGGACCTACTCAAAGTGACAGGAAATGAATCCGAGAGGCTGCGCACACAATTTCAAACTTATTTTATTCAAATTTGTCCGAGGTTAATTAGTCCTATCTACCATTGATAGCGGAGGTCGGCTTAATAGATGACTCAATTTTTGAGTCTGCTAAGAGTATTATTTAGAGACCTAATTGATAAGGAGTTTAATTTTTTATAAGTCGTTGTATTTGTGTTTAAATTTTTCTCTTTTTAATTTATCAGGATAAAAATAAAAAATTATTAATAAAAAAAGTTAATCACAGTTGCTTATTGTACAGTCTGTACTATATGACTCTCAATTTAAAGAAGATCCGGTGTATTCACTTAATATAAAAAATAAGTATTATATTAAATTCTGAACTAATAATTTGCTAATAATAATACATAATCTCTCTATGTGTGACTTTATTAATATTTTAACTCTATTGTGAAAAATAAATAAATATTATTGAAAATCGTTTTAAATATGTTATACTATATTACTTTCTTATTTTAATTGTCAAGGGATTTTTTTGTTCCTTTTTGAATATAATAAGTAATAGATTAATATAATTCTTTATTATTAAGCATTTTTATTTACAAGACTAAAATATGTAATACAAAAAATATTTCTTTGTTGATTTTAACGAGCATAAAATGATAATATTATAGTACTATTTTTGTTTTATGTTTATTAATTTTTTGAAATTATTATAATATTTTAAAATTTTGATGTTATGCTCATAAGTACATTCAACTTTTAATTGTACGAACATTTACTACCATCAATTTCAAAGCATTATTTCTCTATACATGTCTTCTAAATTGATGGTGCTATTAGTAATTCCATGAAAGTAGGAATTACTACTTGATGAACATTTAAGCACCTGATGATGCTATTAGTAATTTTATTGAATTATAAGGGCACTTATTTTAGGAAGATTGATTAACATTTAGGTCCTGTTTGTTTGGACATGAAATATTTTAAAATATATATATATATATATATATATTATTTTTTAGTGTTTGATTGTTGTAAAATATTTACAAAAAAAATATATATTAAAATTTAACAAAATTAATTTACTCATCAATTTTCGACAAGTTATTTTACATGCTCTGTCTTATGAACTCAATCTCAACCTTGATTCAGAGCTTTGCCAAATATTGAAAAAATAAAAATAAAAATTTATTTTACCAAAAAAATATATATTTTCTGAAAAATTATATTTTACTTCGAAACAAAGAATGAATCCTTCGATTTCCTGGATGACATAATCGATATTTCTGTAAATTAAATAGAATGCAAACCCTTTCGATACTAATCGAACCTTAATCTTACTCTATATATTTTCTTTTAGTATCTCATCAAAACGTAACCTTATTACTCGTTTTCTACACAAATAATACTCCGTAATAGGTGTTTGCTTAAAATTAAGAGTAGCTACCACAATTGCTAGCCATTGTGACTAGCATTCCTCTTAGTTCACCATCAATTTATGTGTCTTAATAAGTTAATAATACGGAACAATATTGTTTTGAGTTAATTTTTATTTATTTTTTTCATTGGTATAAGACTATAAGTAATTGTGGTTTCCCAGGACATGCACACTTACCCAGCCAACATACAATATATTTGGATTTCATTGATCTGTATATCTTATTTAATATTCAGTTTTATAAAAATTACCTACCAACAAAAATTATAGTAAATGCCAAATGCACACACATTGCGTCTAAAACCACCATTTTTCGAAGGGAGCTGATATTGGTGCTTCAAAAAAATCCTCTATAAGATTCTATTTTCTGTCCCTCAGTTAAACCCTAAAACACCAAATCTTGGGACTATGATGGTGGAAGAAGAGAAATTCCAGCAATGACCGAAAGTTGCTTCATTGGCTGCTACTGTACGATTTTAAAAAAACAGCTCGTAATTGTCATGGTTGATGCGATTAAGAAATCTTCCTTCTTGTATATCTTACAAATCTCAATAGAATTTCATAAGCTACTCAAAATAATCAACTTAGTAATAAAAAAAAAAAAAATTAGAACTTTCTTTACGATCTCCATCTCTAGTTTGTTGATATATATATATATTCTCACCGAAGTGATATATACTATTATGGTGGTTCACTCGGAATCATTGATTTGGGTGTAAATACCATTGGCATCAATTGAAGTAAACAGTGTTGGATTATTGGAACATGTTTAATACAATCACTCTTGGTATTCTCTTTCACAATGACTAGGACTCGTTGATGAATGGGTGGGTGTTGTTGTTGTTGTTACATTCACTATCCTTTGTGGCTTAATCAGTATATGTTTATGAAGAGGAAAGTAAAATAGATGAGCAACGCTTAGAATAATAGAGTAAAGGACAGTTTGGTCCTTTTCTTTATAAAAATAATGAGTTAGAGTGTCATATAATCTTTATGGAGGACTATTATCAGCTCCCTTCTTAAAAACCTGATTAATTAATGCAATTCATTTTGCACCAATTCCGTAACATCATTGTTTGAATTGTATATATATATGAAATACATGTATAAATGAAGCATAACATATGCTCTTATAATATTTACCTGCTATCAAAATTTAGATAGCAGGTAAATATTATAAGAGCATATGTTATGCTTCATTTATACATGTATTTCATATATATATATATATATATATATAAAATAGTGTTTTGACATACCAAAAACTTGTGCTTCGTGATCTTATCATGTGAACTTCCCATCTGTCCCAAATTGCCAATAACACAAATATGGTGGTTTTAATAATTTCACACAAGACTAATAATTTTCAACAGACCAGTTTAATTCATAGTAACACTACACTAAATAAAAGTCAATCACTTGAAGTGAACATAACCATATCCTTGATGATTATGCAACACATTATTTACACAATTTTGTTTCAAAAATGTTCGGTGAGCAATTTATTCATTAAATATTTTAATTACGGATACAATGGAAGCAACAAGATGACTTTTGAATTGGTCCCAAACAAAAATTATGCTACTTAAAAGGACCGAAAAAAGAGATGAAGATTGTCAATGAATTACCAGAACTTGTACTTTCACACACAACATTCCACTCAAATATCACACAGATGAAAGAATTTCTACAATGGATCCTCATGGCACCCTTAGCCGCTTTCTCCTCCTGTGAATCGCGCCACTGTGATTAGCACTTTTGTGCGCGAATATGGATGTCTTGGTCACTCTAATGTCATGAACTGTGCTGCCGTGATGGCCATGCCTAATGGGATTTCTCTTGTTCACATAAACTGAGTCCCCACTGATCCCTACCCGAATCCGGTGACTCCTAGGCCTCAAAGACCTCCTCAAATGGTCTCCTCTGTAGTCCCTTAGTGATCTTCTGTCCTTCATGTGTCTAGGTAAATGGTGATGTGAAGAGAAGCTTCCTTCTTCTAGTTCTTGTTCACCAGTGCTTGTGTCGAACTCTCTGGCACGCCTTCTGTGTTTCCAGTGTATCTGCTTAAGCATTCGAAGCTTTTAACGAAGGAAAGTGCAGCAGTAGTCACACACGAAGAAGTAGATAGCGAAAAATGCCCATGTTAATTTGCGGTGTGTCCGGCCAACGCATTGGAAAATGCCCAATTTGTATAGAAGATAGAAGAATAAGAGAACTGCAAAATGTCAAAGCAAGCAAGTGCTAAATGAGTAGATAGAGCATGCAGAGAATGGTACTAACTATTTTGCTCATAATGCTCTGAAAGAAAGGATTGTCAAGTTGAGTTCGGATCCTCTACCATAGAGCATTGGTGCTGCAGTGTTTTTCAACGCGGTTAAATCCATTTTCAACACATATATTCCTAAATGAGTTAAGCATACAGATAATGGTATGGACTATGTTGCTCATAATGCTCAGGAAGAAAGGATTATCAAGCCAAGTTTGGATCCTCTACCACAGAGCATTGGTGCTGTAACATTTTTCAATGCACTTAAATCCATTTTCAACACATTTATTTTACATTTGAACTGTTGAAACTATGTTGAAATAGTGTTGAAAATGGATTTAAGTATGTTGAAAAACGCTATAACAAGGAGTTTGGATCCTCTGCTGTAGTGTTTTTCAACACAGTTAAATTCATTTTCAACACAGTTTCAACGGTTCAAATATAAAATAAATGTGCTGAAAATGGATATAAGTGCTATTCCAATTCAAATATACCATTACTAACAACTTCTATTGGTAAAGCATTTTTCATTATGATATTATGTCCTTCATGTAGAGCATTGGTGCTGCAGTGTTTTTCAACGCACTTAAATCCGTTTTCAACACATTTATTTACATTTAAATAGTTGAAAATAGATTTAACTGTGTTAAAAACACTATAGTAGAGGATCCAGACTCTATCGAGTCCTATACCAATTCAAACATATCATTACTGCCAACTTCTACTTTTAAAGCATTTTTCATTATGATCTTCTCTCCTTCAAGTAGAGCATTGGTACTGCAGCATTTTTCAACGCACTTAAGTCGGTTTTCAACACATTTATTTTACATTAGCAGAGGATCCAGACTCTATCAAGTCCTATACCAATTCAAACATATCATTACTACCAACTTCTACTTTTAAAGCATTTTTAATTATGATCTTCTCTCTTTCATGTAGAGTATTGGTACTGTTGTGTTTTTCAATGCACTTAAAGGCATTTTCAACATATTTATTTTACATTTGAACCATTGAAACTGTGTTGAAAATGAATTTAACTGTGTTGAAAAACGCTACAACAGAGGATCCAGACTCTATCAATTCATATTCGGATTCAAACATACCATTACTAACAACTTCTACTTGTAAAGCATTTTTCATTATGAATAAATTTTATGCCAAAGTCTGATTGTGTTAATGATATCAAAATCACAATTCTTGACTCTTTCTATGGAAAATATAGGTTATGAATTTATGATTTATTAGTAATGATTATCTTGTGGAGAGAACAGAATATGGTCTTAATTAATCCATGTTATGTTGGGAGTAAAATTAGGGCTTCTGGAGTAAGAGAGTGAACCACTGCAAAAGTGCAACCTATGAAATAAATTGGAACTCACCGAAGTAGAATAGAGCTGATACCGCGGCCAGCTTGAGCAGATTGGCAATGCAGAAATTGTCGGTATAACATATGAAATCCCATGTCGATCCACATACTGAACTGAACAACCATGTAAATCGAAAAGGTTTTAGAGCACACAGTGTGAGTGTTTATGTGTGTGTGTGTACACACAGATTTCACACACTGAATGCAATGCTTATAAAAAACCATGAACTAAATTTCAATAAAACACATGCAAGATTACAATGTTAGGCATGGTCATCCCATACACCCTGAAATTGGGGCACATATTCATTTCTAAGTTGGGCTTGATTAAACCACATTAAGTTGTACAAATTTCACAAGAACAAAACCATGAACTAAATTTTAATAAAATGAACTCGGTATTAACACACATTACGCTTACCTGCAAGACTTTCCAGCAAGAAAATCAAGTGGAGAACCAAATAAGTTCCCAATGACATGAGCAATTCCCGAAAAGAATGATTATGTTTCCCATCAAGCCAAATTGGGTGACTAATTTAAGCAGTGCCAAACAACTGCTTGAAGATTTCCCAAAGAGGGTGATTTTTGTTCTCTTTAATTCTCACACCTACAATGAAAATGAAAATAAACTATTATCCTATGTGCATGCTATTTTTCTATGAAAATAACATAGCACCGAACTAGTATTCCTGTAACTTATTTTTCTATGAAAATAAATAAATAAATGTTTACACACACACAACACTGAAATCTGAAACTAATAAACCTTGTATAAATTGAAAATTAGTAGTTTTCTTCCGCATTGCAATTTGCTTCTTAAACTCAAAACCAATGTGACAATCAACAAAAGGGTTTCTTGTGATTTTGTTTTTTTTTACATGTTATTTTACATTTGCAACTTATGAATTAGTTTCCAAACACATTTTTCATCAGGGTACATGTGAATCGACCATAATTTGACCACCATTCACACGTATCTATCTTAAATTCAATGCATATTCTAGTTTAATGGGTAAAAAAATCAGCATCACTTTTAAGATAAAAACTCATATACGATATGTGTATATATATCAATATAAAGCAAGCACAGAAAAAATGCAACGGCACACACACACACAGAGAAGGAGAGATGTACTCGTTTGAAGGAATGGGATGAAAGCCCAGAACTATTTCACTACGGATTACAGAGAGAAGGGCGTCTCATTCCAGCGTTTGAAAATTAACCGACACTCTCACACATATACATACACACAGTGAATATACACATACATATATATACATACCTATTGTGAATTTGTGTGTGTGTGTATAAACATTTCTGTGATTGTCCGCTTCAAAAAGGTCCAGACATGTAAAATATTGGGTCAAAGAGTGAAGTCAAAAACATGGGCTCGAATCCAAGCCCACGTTGGACCTTTGTCACTTGCAGGCCCAGGCCACTCCCACCAGGAGAAACCACTGTCCACTGATAACATCCACAATCCATTATAAAATTCTCCAATTCTTGTCTCTCTTCTTCTTCTTCTTCTTCTTTTTTAATTATTATTTTTATTTCCAGAATATATATAATCGAAAGAATTCATTCTGAACTTCTTATTGTTTAAATAAATCATATATATCACCCCTTTTGATACCTAATTTAGATTTCTGAAGTCTTAGAAATAAATCCGCCCTTATTTATTAATTATTTTTTCAACATTAATAAGGTCGAGTAAATATTGAGTGAGCCGGACCAACCAATGAAAATCCACGTCTTTAGCTTCCCAACCCACATTCATAGGCTTGTTTGTTTCAGTATAAACTAAAGCCAATAATTTCAGGTTAAGAGAGAATAGAGATAATTCAAAAATTAGAAAAATTATAATGTGAAAACTGTAATTTATTCTGAGAGTAATTGGAAACTTCTCAAGAAATTGAACCAAACAAACACTTTATTGGAAACTGTTCTCAAGAAGTCTTGGTTCCAGCTATGCTAACTTGCTAAGTCATATTTTTTAATATGTCACTTACTATATATTATATATATATATATATATATATATATATATAGCGAGCCTCAACGAGCCCCTGTCCACGAGCCTATACGAGCTAAGCCCAACGTTGTTCGGGCTCAGCTCGTTTATTAAATGAGCCTAAAAATTGGGTTCGGGCTCGGCTCATTTATAGCAAGCCGAGCCTGAAACGAGCCGAGCCCGAGCTGTTCACTCGGTTCATTCGCAACCTTGTGTCCCCACTAAATTTTAAGAATCAAAATTCAGAAAGACTCCTTTGTTGCTATTTTATTATTTTGGTTCAAAATTTCTTATCATATCATTGTCAATAGTTGCCTCCACTGAAATAAATTCCAGACTCCGCTACTACCTTAGATTGAGTCCGAGTTGAGCTTCTAACCTGCCCAACATGTAGGGTAGCACCATTGGATTGTGTAAAGACTAAAGTTCTTGTCAAAACTTCGCACTGCCAAATATTAAAAATGTCTTATAGAAAACTCTAAAGTTTGACAATTATAGATGCTGGATTGTGTAAAGTTCAAGCCAAAACTTGAACAGTCAGAGATTGAAATGTCTAAGTTGAAAACTATGTTGTTGGACCAATAAAATCCTAAATTAAAAATTCTATATATAAAATTATTTTTATACTTAATTTATTATAATTTTTTAATGTTATTTATTTCAATAAATAATATATATTTATAATATTATTCAATTTTAAAATAATAATGTTATTTATAATTTATAATTTTAAATAATAACGCAAAATTATATTTATATATATTTTCGATCCTTCACAATTTTTTTACGTTATAGTTTATACACACTTTCGTCCACGTGAATCACACATATATTTTACTAAATAATACATACACATATATATATATATATAATAATCTAACGCAGTTGAGTTGGTTATGTGTATATGAAATTATATGAAAAAGTTAAAAAAAAAAAAAATTTAAACCCCCACGCAGAATGTGAATGGAAAATTTATAACGACAAGTAAACAAAGACCAAATACTTTTCTCTTAAACGCGTGTTGATTATTGAGACATCAAATCAACCTAAATTAAAGAAATTTACTATTTTACCCCAAATATATCTGCATGCCCTATAAAACCCAGTGGTATTCACTCACTCAATTCAAGTCAGTTCTGTGCCCCAACTTGGAGAGGTAAACCAGCCCCGTATTCCATCCGTCGACCTCAGCCTCCGGCCCTCACAGCTGCCGGCCACCAATCAAATCTATCTATCAGCCTCACCGTCACTGGCTTTTCTCAAAAGGAAGGTTTGTTTCTTTCATTTCGAACTCAACTCTACACCTCAATAAGACCAACAAACGACTCCCATTTAATGTCTTTCTCTCTTACATTTAAAACATGCAATCCAAAATGAGTAGGGGTGTTCAAATAATTCGCTAATTCGTCAAACCGATCCGAACCAATCCGATTCGTGTGGTTCGGTTTGATTTTGATTTAATGGTTTGGTGATGGTTTTAAAAATTATCAATCCGCAATGAACGGTTCGGTTAACGAATTGAACCTTGAAAAAACCGAACTGATCCGATCCAATTCGTGAATTATATTATATAATATATATATATATATATATATAATTATATGTATACTGTGATATATTATTTTTATTTATTTATTTTATTCATTATTTGTTTTTAAAATTTAGCCCTACATAAGCATATCTAACCTTAGGTTTTTTACTCCCACCATCTGTCTCTGTGTCTATCAACTCTCTCTTCGTTCCTCATCTCCATCAGAAAGTAAGAAACCATATTATTAGTATATCTCTGACCATATAGTAATTGTTATGTTATAGATATTTAATTAAATTATGTTCCTATGTAGATGTGACTACAGTATCAGTTTTAGTATTTTGTTTTGCTCTATACGGATCATATATATTTGGTACGGTAATATTATTTTCACTTTTGGATGGTTTATGTCACTTTCTTTCTGTTTTTCTTTAGATTAAATGTGTTACAACTTACAACATATTGTTTTGACAGATTTATTGTTTGGGCGGAGCCATAACTAAAATAGTAAAATATAATCATATATTTGGCTGGGCCATAATTAACTACAATATAATTATATTGGGTTATTTGAAAAGGCTCAATCCGTGGGAACCGAACTGAATCAATCCGTTACTTCATGGTTCGGTTTGGTTCGGATTGATAGTCACCACGGATCGGTTCGGTTTCAGATTTAGCCAATCCGTAAGGATCTGATTAGTTTGAATTTTACCTAAAATTGAACCGATTCAATCCGTGATCAGCACTAAAAATGAGCTCATTAATTCTTCAAATCCTAATCTTCTAGCTGCTCCCAAATGTGTTGACCCACTCTCAATTTTCGATGAATTGTATGGCTACACAAATAATAAAGAAACAGATCGAAATGGTTGTGTTTCAATTTGAAATGTCATGTTCTGGCGTTAAAATTATGGTTTTTTTCTTCTTCTTCTTTTTTTAATCTTAACACGCTTTTGCTTCAAGTTACAGTATAAGACATTATTGTCTGAAATGATTTGTGTTCACTAAATTTCACATTTACTAGTTATTAGTGTTACAATGGGCATAATTCTAACACATTTTGAGCTAAGCAGGCTAGACAAGCCGACACCGGCCACCATGAGTTCACACAAGTTGTTCGTGATCACCTTCATTTTCCGCTTCTAATCTTCCGGTCATTGCAGTTGAAAATTTCAACATGCGAGTTTACGCAAAAGGTCCTACCATGCATTTTTTTTATTATTATTATTTTTATTTATAAAAGTTAAAACAATTCACCATGCATATTTATCAGGACCATCCAATGCTCAACTTATTGGGGGGAGTGAGTGAGTGTGTGTAATTTGATTATATATATATATATATATATATATATATATATATATATATATATCCTAACATGCAGTTTCAGTCGGGAAAAAAGTGAAGAAAACGAAAACTGACAAGGAGAGGCAGACAAATCCGGCGTGGGACAGCCCCGTGAGTTTCACCGTAAACGAGTCGGAGATGACAAAAGGAGGGATCACGCTTGTCATCAAGCTATACTGCAAGCGTCCCCTCTTCAATAATGATACGATAGGCAGTACCAGTGTGAGATGACATGATAATGTGTACCTAGCTAGCTATATAAATTTAGTCAAATGGATCACATGCATATGTGCATCATTATTATTGTATGGATAATTATATGTTTTGTGATTATCCGAAAAAAATAATTATATGTTTGTGTGTCGAATTTATGGTATGAATAATTATTTGTCTGTGTGTGTTGAATTTATGGTATTAATGATTATATGTTTGTGTGTCAAGGTATTGCATATATGCTTGCTAGTTTCTCTTCTATTTTTAACAAAGCTAGTGTCTTTTTACTTTTCACATATTAAGCTGGTTTCGCTTTAAATTTCACAAATCTCCTTTTAAAATTGGTTGTGTGGTGTGTGTGATCGAGTGAGAGAGATAATTAAGATCATGATGTAGGTTCACTACCACAATATTTGTGTTTTGCCACTAAATATTTGCTAGGAATTTATTTAGGTTGGCCTATTACCTCTCTCTCCCTCTCAAGCCAATTTATCTATCATTCAGTGATTCGAACACAATTTCACCTTTGTAAATTGCATGCTCATTTTAATAATTCAAGTTAATTAGAGTGGAATGTTTTTCTCTCAAAACACATAATCCCACATGACTACATTCGCCTCGTGCAGTTTAACAAATCGAATATGAATTAAAACTAGTTCGATACAATAGTTATCCAATATACTAAAAAACGTGTATATTAACATTTACCTAGCTTTTCAGTCTTTTCTAATATACTAACGAACGTATATAGATAATTCGAAAAAAATTTGCTAGTCAACACTGAGAAAATAATTAAAAGGAAAAACTGTGGATATATAAAGAACTAAGGCTCTGTTTGATTTGACCTAAAATATATTTTTTAAATTTTTTTTTCTTTTTTTAGGTAAAATATATTTTCAAATTTTTTTCCTGTATTTAGCAAAGGTCTAACTTCCCGTCCCAAAATTTTTGTTCATTTTTTTAAATTTTTGGTGTCCCAAAATATATATCTTATTTTAAAAATAAAAAATTATTTTTTATAATATTTTCAAATTCACTTGATTAAATAATTGCACTAATTACGGTATACTTCTTTGTCTTTTAATCAAGATAAATTAAAAAATTCACTCTTATGAATACAATAAAAAAATATTAAAAACACATTGTCATAAAAAATTTGATCTCCAAATTATATATATATACTCTTTTTGTCGATCCAAAATTCTTGAGATGTTTGGAGAATCCAATTTTTTATGACATTGTGTTTTATATGTGTGTCAGTGGGTGCGCTTGGTTATGAGAGCCCCAAAAAAAAAAAAAAAAAAATTTATTGGACCGACGATTGGAATCCTACATATTTAGTGAATTTCTTTGTCTGTGGAGTGATTTTGATATACATATATACACAAATATTTTTTTTTTTCAAGACAAGAAGTGTTAGAACTTAAATTAGTAGATGCAGAAAGTCGAAATCTGGCATTCCAAAATTCACCGAAAACATTAACCTATTAGGTTATCGAGGCATCTGCACATATCGTACACATACACATGAGTGTGTTAGTCTTAGAGTATCGAATTGACGATTTAAATTTGGAATCAGAAAAAATTTAACTAAATTGAATTTAAATTAAATTTTATCAAATTTTAAATCTAAAATAAGAATTTGATACTTTTAAATATAACATTTGACTAAATTAAAATGGCTTAGATCCAAAAGAATCTTATCGAATTCAAATCGGATCAATCTTATCTGAGTAGTTTACCATTCAATATTATGTCAAGAATGATACTGCCTCACATAAAAACAACTTGTAAGAATGACGAAACTTGTGACATGATTATGATCAATTTTCAGAAGGGACATTGATATTTTGAAAGTTGTTGGAGTGAATAATAAGTGATCCTTTTTTTTTTTTTGTTTTGTTTTGTTTTGTTTTGTTTTTTTTTTCCTGCTAAATTTTGGTGAGAAAAACTTTTGTTTTATCAATCTAATCTTGCTTTGTGTGAATAACATTTGTTTTCATCAACCGAATCGTACTTTTCGCAAGAGCCTCAGACACTATGACGTCACTCGAAAGGATTAGGATCTACCTAAAATCAATGGTATTGTGATTGGCACTTTGATGTAGACAAAATCACGTCGTGTTGTACAAATACCAATAATTTAGAGTCACTTTAATGTAGTCAAAATCACATGGTGTCGAACAAATACCAATAATTTAGAGTCTATAGAACCCACAACACTGATAGAACCCACAACATGGCTGTAGTGAGTTCCACCATTATTCTGAGAGAGTATCATCACAAATACTATAATTTTAAGCCTTTAAGCTCGTAATAATAAATAAAGGATTCATAAAAACAATTTTTTTAAAACTAATATATTTCAGGTATTTTCATATATTAAAATTTTTATTGTCTTATTAATTTTTATTTCTTTTCTTTCTTTTTTTATAATTTTATATCATTTAAATACGAAATTTATTTTGAACTTAAAATTTTGTATTTAATTGATTTAAAAATTATAAAGGAAGAAAGAAAATAAATAAGGATTCATGGGACACGCATTTCATTGTAATGCCCGTGTGTGCGTACCAAAGATAATTAGAAGTGTGTTTTTAGTATATGTGTTATTATATTTTAATGAATAATTTGGAGTTAGTGTATATATATATGTTTTAATTATCATGTATATGGATATAGATGAAATAAAGTTAAGTTGCTGGTGGCAGAAGAGTGGACCGAACACACAAGACACGTAATTGTGTAGATATATTTTATATATGTATAAGGTCAAAGCGACCTTTACAAACTTGTTTGGACTGCCTTTGAGAAAGCTAATATTTTGTTTGAGACACAAAATATATCAAAGGGACTTTTACGTATAAGTGCTGATAGCAAAAATATATTATTAAATTCTGAGTGTAGTTTGTATATTTACTATAATATAAATCAAAAGTGAAGACTTTTAATTTGAATTTTTTTATAAGTTAAAATTATATTTTCACTCCTAAAATTTATTTTATACACAATTTAACCAAAAAAGAACTTTTAAGAATTCTAGAATATTTTCAAATAGCATTTAGGAATTGTTACACTTTACTAAAATTCAAAAATACAACCCGTACTTCAACGAAGAATAAAAGAACTTAGATCTAGAATTATTCTTATACAGAACATTTTAGAAGTTAGACAACAAAGATTTTAGTTAGATTTTAGAACATAATAGATTTTAATAACCAACACATTTCGATAAAACGATTCGAAGAAAATTTAGATTATATTAAAACAACAGTTGAACAAAAGTTTAGTCCCGGAAATTTAGATAATAAAATAATAATTTCCGCCATTAAAGATATAAATAGTGATATAAAAGATATTGCTGAAAATTAAAAAATAATTATAGACTATTTAAAATCATTAAAAGAAGATATCAAAATGTTATTACAATAATTTATGAGCACTAATAATCCTGATTACCTACAAGCATTAGATGAGCTCTATAAAATAGATAAAGAACCTATAGAATTTACAAGTTTTACGACAGACGTAAAATCAACACACACACACACACACATATATATATATATATATTAGGCAAAATAACTTTTTAATCCAGTTATTACTCCAGTTATCTGAAAAAGTTAATAAACTTGAAGAGAAATTAGAAGTATTGCAAGAAAGTATTCCTAGAGAATCTTCCAAAGAAATAGCAGAACTCTCGGACAAAATAAAAAATTTAAAATTATCAACTAATCCTTTCCCGACTAAAAGCAACAAGCGAATAAATCTATTACAACCATATAAAGAATGGCCATTATTCTTAGAAAAGCCAAAGAAATAATGCGTGTAGAAAATTTATATGATAATGAACAAGATGCTCAAAATTATATAGAAAAAAGGAATGAAGAAAGTATCCAATAAAGTTAATCTTTATTCCAATAATCTATTAGATTTTAAAAGTAAAATATATAATCATCTTAGACAAAGAAGAATAAGTGTAATTAATAATCAAGTAGTATTAGATCTCATAACACCAGAAGTTTATCATGAATTAGAAAAAACTAAATTAGATCTTATGCATTTAGGTGTTATAATGATAGGCATAGTAAGATTAAATAGATCAGAGGTAGGAACCAAAGCACTTGTTTATATTTATGATGATAGATGGACTAACCATCAACAAGCACAAATAGCCAGCGCAGAAATAGATTTAGCAGTTAACGGAGCTATTATAGGATGTATTCCTAATTGTACAATGACTACTAGAGAATTTAGTAAACATATTAAGATAGCAATATCTACAAAAGGATATAATATGGCAGGTCAATATGAAAACCTATTAATTAATACTTTATTTATGGGAAAAACAGTTAATCAATATAACATAAAGTTTAAAGCACAATTTGATAAAATTGTTAAGCCATTTAGTAGTAAATATGTTCAAATGATTGAAGTTAGAAAAGTAAGAAGTGAAACCTATGAAGGAGCCGAATGGGAATTACCAAATCTTAATAAAACAATCCAAAAGATTCCAAAAATAATAAAATATATGTAAAACATACGGGTGAAACCAGTATACGTTTCAATAATTATAAACGACAAGATAACTTAATAGATAATAATGTTGAGGAAGACTTTTTATCTACCATAATAAAGATAGAATCTCCCGAAGAAAATAATGTTTTCTATGATAGATTAGAAGGCGAAATTCTAAATAAAATCATATATGATTTTGATAATTTAGAAATAGATGATCTGAACGATAAATATCCAGAACCTAAGTATCAACTATTAGAAAGCATTTACCTAGGACAGGGAAATAATGACGATATTAAAAGAAATATTTTGATAGTGAGATTTAAATCATTTTACACAAAGAATGAATTAAACATCTTTAAAGAAGAATTAAATGTAGTAGAATATAGAGAAAGAAAAGATATAGTAGAAACATTAACCTCTCAAGGCCAACCAACAGGGTCAGTTGACCAAGAAATGCCTAACACCACAGGTAGTACTAATACCATAAACAATGACTATACCACTGGACAACGGTTAAATCCCACACAAGAACCCTATGTTGAAAATAGAAATATACCAGACATGTACACATGGACACAAAATCGTAGACGTTACGATAATATACCTGCACAACAAGCAGGAACAATCCTAGACATATCACGACACAATCCCCAAGATTGGGCAAAAGTAAT